AATTTTTCATATGTACGGTTTTAAGATCCGTTGCGAATACTCGTTCTAATTCCACGTACTTTTCTTAACTTCTGGTCAAAAAAAAACCCTTGTAGTGACCTTCTTGTAGGTTTTCAATTTGACTGCTCATGAAGACTCGTTTCTGGTACCCGAGTCATCCTTCTGCTTGTGTATTAAAATTTATGATTCATTGGAAGAAAACTAAATAGAATAAATAAATAAGAAGACATTCTTGACCGCAGTTATCATTAGAAATTCTGTCTTTGACTTTTGAGTCAGCTGGAATTTATCCTCTGTGCAAGTAATTAGTCGATGACAACTTCTCCCACCCACTCCAACAATCCAAGTCTTAAAGGACGACAACATGCACACATCAGTTTGTATAAACGTTCTGGAATCTGCATAATTCCCTAACAACATTTGTTTTACTGAACCAGAGCTTAAAGTCGCTCAAGTATTTGTTGAAATATATAACTTCTCCACACACTATCGGAAGCGCAAGTGATAAAGATGTGAGACCCTATCAATCCAAGTCTCTTTGCAGGTAGGTAGGCAGTGGAAATCAATGTTCAAATTTGAGATTTCTTCCAATATCAATAGAGTATGCAGATGGAACTAATGACTAATGGTTTTGTATGTGTCTGGTTAGTGATTACTAAGAAATTTTTTTATAACCAGCAAAGATCATTTTTAATGTATGTACAGTTAGTACATTAAAATTGTAATCCATGGACTTCTGCATGTATCATTTCTCTCCATGCATACCCATGTTTATGTCAGCAATTTAAATTGTTTAAATTAATTAAAAGATAATTAAAGAAGTTAAGTAAATAAGAATGTGCTAAAATATAAATAACTGATTTAATGCCTGGAATTATGTCCCTGATCTATTAGTTTGTTTCTTATTTGGATGTATTTAAAGTCAATGACGGAGTCAAAAATTTACAATACTAGGCTATATTTCCCTCTTTTCAATCGGACAGGCAAGGGCGGAGGCACTAATAGGCCAGTATAGGCCAAGGCCTACCCTCACTCTTTCAGCCTTTCTTAATATTTAGTATTATATTTATAAAAAAAAATTAGTAGCATACTTCTTAAATGATTCACCAATAATTAAAATAGGGTGAATTGTCAATTTAGTCCTTCAATTATTACCTTTAGTGAAAAGTAGGTCTTTAAACCTTTTTTTTTTTTTTTTTTTTTTGAAAAAATCAGTCCTCAAACTAATAAAATTTGCCAATTTATTCTATGCTAACTTGGGTACAATGACCATCTCCTGGAGCCATCTTTTGAGACCTCGTGATGATATAGTTGTTAATGGTTGAACTAGTACTTTAAATCAATAAAGAATAAATCTAATAATTAACCGTCACATTATGTGGTATCTAAAATATGGCCTAAAAAACATGTCTTCCTAGCATTTTTAATTGATTTGATCATCTTTAATTTAACTACTCTCTATATTAACTAGATATTGGAAGGTTAATTTCAACATGAAAAAGTATGTAGCGCCTCAAAAATTTTAATTAGCTCAAACTCCAAGCATGTATTATACTTTCTTATAAATACTATCTTTTTTTTTTTTTTTTTTTTAACATTTACATGAGGCCCCTCCTCACGTAAAATCATGGCTCTGCCACTACGGACAGGGCGACCTTGATTGTGTGCATCACCTTAATACGAAATGAAAATCATTTGAATCACTTAAGTCATGGCTGTGTGATTTAATATGAACATTTGGACCACTAGATTAAAACTTATAATCAATTAAGAGTGGAATTGTAAATTCAGGTACAAACAAGTCATGAACAAGAAGCTTCTAAAAATTAATCATACTTTCATTTATAATTAATTGTCCATCACATGTTCTCATGTTATAGAAATGTTGTATCACAACATAATTATCAGTAAAATGAAATATATTTTTCATTGTATACAATCAAATTATCATTCAACCATTGATTTCTCGTATAACGTGAATTCTTCACAATATTAATAGTAAAAACTTCTCTATTTTGGGAAGGTTATAATTTTGGTATGTTTCAATTTAAAAAATGGTCTCTCTATTTTGTTTGCCTCATCTAGTATAGGGTCATATAAAAATTATAGGGTGAAATACATTAAGAAAACCCAGAAGCAGAAAACACCCCAACATCACAGAGGCCCCACCTGGAGCTTGGAAGAGATGGTTGATTGAGACTTTGCTGCTGAGGATGCAGCAGAAGGGAATGAGCTGGTTGGGGTCGGGGTGGGAGTGGGTGAAGGCTGAAGAAGGTCAACGAATCGGGGAAGAGGTGAGGGCTGGCGGTGGTTGGTTGCAGGGGAGGTTAGGCTGGGGAAGGAGGTGTCGTCGGGGAGGCTGGGGCTGGATTGGTGGTGGGATTGAAGGGGTGGTCTACCTTTTTTTGATTTTATGTTATTTGTTTTAATTTATTTTCTTTCTAAATTGATTTTCCTTGTGACAAAATTTTGACATTCACATCAGCGTAAATGTGAGTTCTAAGTATGTCAAATCATCATTTAACGGTCATACAAACAAATTGATTAATGAATCTATGACACTGGAACAAATTGTAAATTTGTGTATGACATTGCAATGTTTTAAAACATATGAAGTTGCAATTGTACACAAATTTGAAAATGTAAAATGTAATTTATCCAAAATTAAAACGGAGATAATTTAAATTGTTGGGATCAGTTGCAACCAATGCACCATGTTAGCTCTGCCAAAGGAGTGGGATTTAGTTACCATTGTGAGGACTAGGAGACACGATCATGATATTGCACCCCATTTTTATGGTTAATCAATGTGGGCAGTTGCTTGTAATGCTGGGAAGACGAAGACTCATGAAGAAGATAGTAAAATATCATTGGTGTACATCATCATATATGTTTTTATCCTTGTATTTGGGGCAACCTCCCCCGATATGATGCATTCAGTCACACAACTTATTATCGTTGCCTATCGAGCTGTACATCCTCATGATCAATTCATCATTGTCTGAGAGCAACTCCAACTTACTATGTCAATTGCTGTCCGGGCTATTGATTGAGCAAAAGCAATTATTACTTTAGTAGACAGTAATTGTCCGAGTACATCTTCACCGTATAATAAATTGCCCCATCAATCTGTTTCCCCTCCTTCCTCTCCCCTGCTTTTTCTCAGTGGGGCTATGGTGGCCACTTCTCTTTTGCATGCCTTTTCTTTCAAACCTCACCATCCTCATAGCTAGACGAGAAAAAGGCCAGAGCTTGGATAGTCTGATCAGTTCTTCCCGTCGTTTGTGTCGTCCGATTAGAACTAGACTCGGGGGAAGAAGACCGGAGTTTGGATCTATTGATGGAGACGAAGACATCTTAGGTTATTGTAATGACCTAGCAACTCCAAAATAATAGTCTTTCACCGAAATAATCATTCAAAAAAGATCTCGCCAAATGAATAGTTTTAATCATTTTACTAACGTTTTAAAATAAAACGTAAAAAAGAAGTAGGTAGCCTCTATATGCTCGATTAACAAAGATTAACATGTTAAATTATTAGATTATTAACCTAAATAACACAAATGCATTAAGCATGGGTATAAAAATGCATAATTTTATACCATATTTTTAAAGGAAAACTAATTAAAAGTGTTTGAAAATTTTGAGTTTTAACGATAAGGACAAAATAAAGGGTAAAGTGAATAGTAGTAGGATTGACTTTTTAGTGTAAAAATGTGATTTTTCGTTAAAATGAACAGTACTGGTAGTTTTTCGTTAAAGTTTCATATTTTCAAAGGAATGACTTTGCGCACGCATTTCTAGAAGCCATGGACAGCAGGACAAGTTTGAGGATAAAGAAAGAGAGACTTGGAGGTGACCAAACAACCGAATTCGGATTCGGATTTTTTTTGTAAGGATTTTAGGAGTTCGTGAATCATATCTGTTTATCGTACATCGTACTTTCATGAATCATTTTAAATATTTATTATTTAAAATTAAATACAAACAATACTTGATATAAACTGATTGCACTATATACAAAATAAACAAACACGATTTACGAATCACCAGAATCTTCACCAATTATCCTCATCAAAAGGATTATTGTTGGCAAACAACTTGACCTAATCAAAATTCAAAAGACCAAACCAGCAGACATGTAAAACACCTATTATACCCTTCAACGAACTAATGGGGGGCCCTCTAACAAAAGCTGACACGTCAGAGCAGCAAAATCTGCAGTCGCTCGTGATCCACTGCAAAAACGACACACAAAATACAACAAAAGAGAAAATAAATAGATAGAGAAAAAATGTGAAACACTTCCACATGGTGGAGGCTAAACTAAATCATTGTCAATTGAAACAATATTTCCAGTCTGTATGGTTACTTGGCACATCAAATATGTCGTTATGAATTTATAAAAGTATTGAGAATACGTGGGCATTTAGTGAAAAATAGAATGAGATTCGTCTTCCAAATAGAAACGATAAACGACATTTGAAAAATTTATGATAATATTTTTGAAGTGTTAATAAGAATTTTCTCGATAATTTCTTTCATTTTTTTTGTCTGAAATACATAAGCTTAAACTGAACTTATTTTTCTAGCGAGCTTAATATTTGTTCGACCCTGGCTCATTTATTTTTACAAATCCAACTTGACCAAGTCAAAAACAAAGCGGACGCGAGTCGAAGTTCAACCGATTACATCCCTACCAAAAACTAGCTTGTTTCGATTATTGTACTCCAATGTTGCCTTCATGTAAAAACAACCCACTTTTTTGTTGGCATCTGCCTTTTTTGAGAAATTTTTTATGAAAAAACGTTTCGATACATAAAATATCATAAAAAAAGTAATTGAATATTTAAAATAATTTTTTTAATTAATTATATTATAATATTTGATGTAATAGGGATGTTCGCGTCACGTCAAAAATCTCGCTTTTTTATTTTTTTCTCAACAAAATCGCGGCCCAATTTCTGAAAATTCAGCATTTTAAAATATAAAGACAAAAATACATTGTCCACCTTCGTCGGTCTGACTTGTGATCCAATTCCAAGCCCCTCTCTCTTGACGCTTTCTCTCTGCAACTTTTGAAGTTCGCCGGATTTTCTTCTGAGCTGATGAAGTGCTTCCATTTCACTAATGGGGAGGGGCGGGACAACGAGGAACCCGGCGTCGTTCCCCGGGCGACGTCGAAGGTGTCGTGGGTGCGCTCCCTCAGTGTGGCCTCCAGCAGCTACGGCACCACTCGGCGGTCCGAGTTCGACTCGGACTCGAGGGACCTGTCCGACTCTGTGGCGTTCCAGGAGCTGCTGAGTCTGCGGCGGGCCAATGCTCTGAGGGTGTTCACGTTCTCGGAGCTGAAGGCGGCGAGCAGGGGGTTCAGCAGGGCGTTACTGATTGGAGAAGGAGGTTTTGGGTGCGTTTACAGAGGAATCGTCAGAGGCTGTAATGTCGGCGACGGGAAAATGGACGTTGCTATCAAACAGTTGAATCGGAATGGCTTCCAGGCATGCTCTTTGATCCCCTTTCAATTTTTGCTTTGAATTTTTGGGTTTGTAATTGTAAAAACTGTTGATGGTTTTGTGAAAAGTTTGGAATTTTTAGTGTTTTAATAACTAGAAAAATGTTGTATGGGATTGCAGTTTTACAAATTTTTATTTGGCAATTTTGTATATTTTTATTTGAATTTCTCAAGCCTTTCACTTTAACTGTTTGGGAATCAATTTTTTTCAGTGTTCACCTTTGTGCTTTTTTTTTTCTTCTGTGGCTTTTGCTTTGTGGATTCTGCTTTGTTTTTGTTTCTTGTAAATTTGTGGGGTTGGAGTTGGAAAGTTCGCTTGAATTAGAGTTATGATTTGTATCATTTCAGCTAGTTGAATTCGGGTTGGGGGACGGCAAACTTGAGCGATAAACCATAAATTTAGAAAGGAGTCGTGATTCTAAAGTATAAAGCTTGTTAACATTGCTGGTATACTGACCGTTGTATAGATTTAGGGCTCGTTTAGAACTGCTTTTAAAATGGCTGAAAGCTTTTTCTGTGAAAATGTTTTTAATGCAAGTGAATCAATGAAAAGCACTTCGAAGTGCTTTTGGAACCTAGAAAATTATCTCTAAAAGTGTTTTATGTCATTTTAAAAGCACTTCCAAACGAGATCTTATGCTGCAAGTGTGTTTTGCTTGTAGAATAATTTGATTAGTGGTTGGTTTCGATTAAGGATTTATTTGAACGGTCTGAATGTAGCTTTACTTTACATGCTCTATATTTGAGATTGTAGGTTTTCAAGTTTTTGAGGTTGTCTAACGGGGGTTGCAGTATTTTACATTCTAGTATTCAGGGGCATAAGGAATGGATTAATGAAGTAAACTTGTTGGGCGTTGTCAAACACCCAAATCTTGTTAAGTTAGTAGGATACTGTGCAGAAGATGATGAAAGGGGGATTCAACGGCTATTGGTTTATGAACTTATGCGTAATAAAAGCTTGGAGGACCATCTATTGGTTCGATCTTCATCATCTCTCCCATGGATGACAAGACTAAGAATTGCTCAAGATGCAGCCCGCGGATTGGCATATCTACATGAAGAGATGGATTTTCAGGTACGCTATATTGTTTACTTTTTATATCAAAAATACGCTACATGAAGACACTGTTCTCACGTTATATACATTGTCTGTAGTGCATTTCTAACTAACTTAGCCTAAATCCCTTGGCACTTGCAAATCCCTCCTCCAAACAGTCTTTTATGCCTAAATTTTCCCATTTATATAGCAGATGATATCTGCAAGTAAATGCTTCCCATTACTTTTCTTATATCCGGTAGCCTGTATTTTGTTTAGGTTACTTAGCTGTTCGCTGATATGATTTGGATCTTCCTTGTAACTGGTGCAGCTAATATTCCGCGACTTTAAACCATCAAATATTCTGCTAGATGAGGACTTCATTGCAAAGCTTTCAGACTTTGGACTAGCCAGGCAGGGACCTCCGGAGGGGACAAGTCACGTTTCAACAACAGTAAGTTGTATTATCTTTTGGGTAGAGCAGTTTGTCTTTCTGGAATGTATTTGGGCAGATCGTGCTCTTTAGGTGTTGGGAGTTTGGGACACAAGTCACTCGTTTCAGTGTTTCACCAAGGAGATATTAGTGATAAAAGTAAAAGTAAATGGTTGTCTGAAGATTCTAGGCCCTCTTTGCCACTTCCAAAATTTCTTGAAAAACTTAACCCATGGCTACCCTCTTGTGAAATGGGACCTGTTAATGGTGGAAACCAACTTCTTTACTTGTTTCTGGTGAATTATAAGTCCTACATCCTGGGAAATGCATTACTTACCATGAATATTTGCTTTTATAGGTTGTGGGAACAGTAGGTTATGCGGCTCCTGAATATGTACATACGGGGAAGCTGACTGCTAAAAGTGATGTGTGGAGCTTCGGAGTGGTTCTGTATGAGCTCATCACAGGAAGGAGGGCGGTGGAGAGAAATTTGCCCCGCAGTGAGCAAAAGCTTTTGGAATGGGTCAAGCCCTATGTTCCAGACTCAAAGAAATTCCACCTTATTTTGGACCCTCGGCTTGAAGGACAGTATTGCATCAAATCAGCTCAAAACCTTGCATCATTAGCTAACCGGTGTCTATCAAAACAACCAAAGTCTCGCCCAAAAATGAGTGAGGTGGTTGGGGTTTTGGGATGCATCATAGATGAGCTGTCACCTCAAGACGAAGTAGTCCCTGAACCTGTGATTGAAACAGAAGAATCAAATGAAGAAACCGTGGAGGAGACTGAGATCGAGTCTAACAAACAAGGAAACAAAAAGAGGGTTTTCGACATAAAAGACATGGTTAACTTTAGAAACAAATCTATTGGGAAGTTGGATTGGAGAAACTGGACCCCGGGTTTGATAAGAACTTGGTGATCAAGCATTCAGCCAGCCTGTAGCAGAAAAGAACCAACAGGCGCATTTCGACCTTGACATTGAGAACAACAGATACTTGTTGTTCAAATCTTACGGAGGTACAGGATTCCAATCCATTCTTTTTCTTTTTCAGTAGATGGTTGTAAATATAATTTGTAGAAGGACGCTGCACATTTGAGGCACGCGTCCGTTTCATTAATGCACAAAATGTGTGGCACAAGTTCATTCTCTCTTCCGTGTAACAAGGACTCACCGTCGTAGAGGTGAGCGGGAACGATGGCAGTCCAATGTCAAATGAGTTTTGTAATCCAAATGTGAAATCTTTCATTATAGATGTCTCTACGTTCAAAGAAGAATTCAAATTACAGCAAGCTCACTGCACTCCCGTATATGGTTTCTTTGAACCATTACAAGGAGGCCTTGAGGCCCAAGCCCAAAAACGATAGAATATCCCTGGGCCTAATTAAGCCCAAGGAAACATCCCTGACCAAGCAGGACCTCATTTTCTTACCGAATGACATGACCAGTAGTACTGCTACACATGTCCATTTTCGATGTCGTCCGTGAGCTTTTGCTCTAGGGTTCTCCTCGGCAGCTCTCCTTGGGTTCCCTCATTTGAGATTCCTGTGGAACAAGATCAAGGGCCATCCTGGAACGCAATGAGTTGAAAAGAAAGATCCTAATTCCTAACCAGTTGAGCAATGCTTGCATACTTGTTTACTGTTTATTATTGTTGATTACTTGAGTTTTCATGCTTTTGAGAAAAATATGGAAATAAAGAGAAGGTTAAAAAAAATGCAGCTATGCAGGAAATGGAACAGCTAAAGTTACAATTTGGTGATTAAGAAGATACAGCATCGTTACAAGCTCACCTAATTTGGCAAGAAAAGGCTGAAATTTGAATAACATTTAGCCGGAATAAACTGTACGATCACGGACAAACATTCGTATATTGCAGCAGCGTTTTCCATTTACTTCGACTCTATTGTGAAGCGTAAAGTGGGGAAGCAGAGGGCCGAGGATAGGCGACAGTATTCGTTGCCTTGTTAGCTGCCCTTAAGGCATCATCTGCTGGTGCTGCTGCGCGCTTGGTTTTTGCTAGCATCGTCTGCACTTCGTCTGCGCATCCTTTGACCATTACTCTGAGTGCCTCCGGTGGCATTAGAATCTTGTAGTTGTTCGAGTGCAGTTACAACCTCGTCCATGTTTGGCCTGAGCTTGGATTCTGTGGATATGCATCGTGCTGCAAGGGTTGCCGCCTTGTGAGCTCCGTCCATTGAATACTGACCTTCCAGACGGTTGTCAATGACGCGAAAGATCTTACCCTTGTCTGCCAAGAAGGGTTTAGCCCACTCCACCAGATTGTGCTCTCCGGATGGCCGATTCTTGTCAACTGTTCTCTGGCCGGATAAAATCTCCAATAAAACGACTCCGAAACTATATATGTTGCTCTTGGCAGTTAGATGACCTGGAATTAGTGAAAAGTGGAGCCGTTACACGGGCATCGATTTTGATATACGCTAATCAGGAATATGAACCAAAGCACATGGCAAGATTCCAAGTTGAATTGTCAAAAAAAACTAGAGATTCTAAGTCAGTTGACCACTTAAAATTAACATAAAACTCTCGGATCGGAGATGCCAACGGGCGGAATCGAAGTATAATACCTGTGGCTAGATATTCTGGAGCACCGTATCCGTAGGTACCCATGACCCTCGTAGAGACATGGCTTTTATCACCCGTTGGCCCGTCCTTGGCCAAACCAAAGTCGGAAAGTTTTGCATTGTAGTTCTGGAATCATATCACAAATCAAAGACATTCTCAAGGATATCACAAATCAAAAATATTGCAATGAACACATTCGATAGTCACATACCGAATCAAGCAGGATGTTTGACGTCTTGAAATCTCGGTATATCACTTTTGTTTCAGCACTGTGAAGAAAAGCAAGCCCCTTTGCAGCACCAAGGGCAACCTTCATGCGGAGGTTCCAAGAAAGAGGTTGGAAATAAGAGCCTCCTGGTACAATATCAGTTCAAGACTTGTCAACACATTAATTTCTCAAAACAATCTCGTTTCAAAGGCATCCAGACATGTTGCTAAACGAACTTACTCCTGAACAAATGGTTTTCCAAGCTGCCTCCGGGCATGAACTCGTACACCAGAAGTCGGTGTTCATCCTCCAAGCAGTAGCCGATTAGTTTCACGAGATTCGGATGATAGAGCTGTCCTAGATAATTCACTTCTGCCTATAAAACCCAAATGGAAGCAAACCGTAAGTCATAACTGCGCAAGTTTTCGTTCTGTGAGAAGTATACAGTCGGGAAAAGAACTCACCAACCACTCTCGGTGACCCTGAAAACTTTCTTGGTTAAGCCGTTTCACAGCCAAATCTATGCCACTCCCGGGCTTTGCAGCAGTGAACGAATTTTCATCAATCCACCCCTTGAAAACTGAACCGAATCCACCTTCTCCCAACACACTATCAGGACGGAAATTCCTGGTGGCCAATTTGAGGTCATTGTAACTAAAGCTCTTCAGATTGGGAGACTTCAAGATCTCGCCCTCACTCCGAGGAGTTGGAGGTGCCGAAAATGATGAGACCTTACTGCTTGTGCTGCTGAGGTCCCCATCATTGCTAACACATTTTGAACCTGCACAAGTAAACGTGAAGCGGAAATCAATTTACAGCCCCCGCCAAGGCATCGATAAGAAAACACACAACTGAACCGAAATCAAGCAAGCTCGCAAGTGATGGATTGCCCTGGCGGATAAGGCCTTCTTCAATCCACTGTTTCCCGGGTTCAAACATCCCCATGGAGTAATAATATCGATTGTAATAAAAATAAAAAATAAAGCAAGTACCAGTATTAACAGAGCTCTCAACTTTGATTCGGGCGCTCAGGCAGATCCCCATGAAACCTAACTCTAGAAAAACCAACCAGCTTTTTTCAAATTCTCCACCTGCAGATCACACAAATTTTGTTTCAGCTGAAAGCACTTCAGATGAACTTCAAAACTGACAGATCTAGAGTGAAAGCAGTAACTTTTCAACCCGAAAAAAAGGAAAATAACAGAAAAAGTTGGTATCAAAGCTTTCAAAATTGACTGGTTTTAACTGAAAATTCAATTTGTTTCTCTCCGAAACAAGAAAGAAACTTACTTTCTAAATCTAAATAAAAAATTAACAAAAACCCATGAACTACAACACCATGAACCCAAAAAGCAACCTCTTTATTTTTTTTTCGAAAACTGGAATGGAATCAGAGAGATAGAGAACAGAGAGGGAGGTGGGCTGTTTATGCTTTTTAGTGTGCTGGTTTCTACTTTCCAATGCGCAGAGACGCAGAAAAGAAAGAGGTTTTTTGTTCTGAGTAGGCGCAAGTTGACTTAAAGCTTTTGGTTTGATGGAGCGAGGATTGGGCTGTGAAGGAAGGTGGGGAGCAATGCATTGATGGCGAGCTGGTCCCGCTAGCTCTTCAGCTCAACGTTTTCTACTGCTCTGTTTTTTGGTTTTGCTCTCTCGCTCTCTCTTTCTCTCGCCTCTCTCTCTCTCCTCCTCTTGCTCTGTATTATTCAGTCGATGCAGTGCAGATAAGGCTGCTCATATCTGCTTAATCTTTCTTTTAGCCGTTTGATTGGGTTTTCAAAGATCCCAATCTTCCAAGCATGAGAAATGAGTGAGATGGCTCGGCTTTAGCCTTGGAGCTTTGGCACTCTACAACTTAATTTAATTTAGCACTGAATTTTTGTGTCCTTTTCTTTTTCAAATTTGATTAAGTGTCCATTTCAAAAGAAAATTTTGGTTAATTGTCCACCTTCTATGCACATGCACGTGAGAGTTATTGGATACCGTATCGTGGGAGAGAAAAATAGAAAAAATGGTGTGCTGCAAAAGCAGAAAATGATGCATATAAAACTTAGGGTAGTGCACTCGTTCTTATCTCTTCACTCATGTTTTAATAAAAATTTAATTGCAAGTTTGTCTATTCGTAAAATAATTAATAAAGACTTTAAAAGATATAATTAATAATATGTTGGGTGCGAAAAGGTAATAGGAGTCAGGAGCCCTAAACTTACATTAAGCTGTGAAAGGAATGGACAATATATAAGCAGAATTCACAAAAAAGACATAAAGAACGAGGATAGAAGAAATTCCAGAATGAAAAAATGTGGATGCCTTTTCTAATGAAAGGGTAAGAAGCTAACAACTAATAATGATTGGATATTGATGGTAGTTAGTAGGGTGCTTAATCACAAAACAGCAAAACATTTGGAGAGTCATTCATTTGCTGGTAGATATTTGTCGAAAAAAACTTCGTTGTTGAGGAAATAACATTTCAATTTTTTGGGAACAGTAGTGGATGGGGCATTTTAATGGTTGAGAGTTAAACAATAACGATATTAAGTTAGATATTATATTAGTATGTTGAGAGTTGAATTAGTACTCCATTGTTTTTAGCTTTAATGGTTGGTGGCAAAATATATGGAGGGGGCAGATAAGAAAAGACTGGTGGGCATGGTAGCACTTCTCTTTTAAGCTAAAATATTGTCGTACAAAAGAAAACCACTTTATAATTAACAAAATATTATCAAAATTTAATAGTAGTATAAACCTAGCACCCAACAAGAAAATATGTTAAAGTAGCCTCATATTATCTGCAAAACATGTTCTATTCTTGCATCATGAATTAAAATATGTTAATATAATTCAAGTGGGCAAACATACCATCACTTGCAATCCATCCATCAATAAGTTCATCAATTTCTTTTGACCCATTTTTGTTTGTTTGCATATTACACGTGTATATAACGTTTTGCTTATAAAAATCGGTTAGTAATTATCATTGAAAGAAATGATTATGAAGGGAAAATAGTTTGCGGTTTGTTTGATTAAGATTGTATATATGCAATTATATGTGGTTAAGAAGGGTTAATTATGTTTTGAACCCTCTTGATTGGTGTTAGTGATAGTTTTGTCATTGTCTTTCAAAAGTCGGCAAAAAAACTGAAACCTAATCACTGTCCCCATCTCCTAGTCCCAAGTGAATTTGCTATGTCTACCGACATGCCTTATAAACAACAAATAAGAACTTTCCTTTTAAAGGAAACCTTAACCTTCTGAGAGATAAATAAAAATGTGCATCCATCTTTGGCGCCATGACACATATTAACTATGGATGTGTCCAGAAGACACAGAAACAGAGGGTACCACTCTCCCATCCAAAGCAAAAAATAGGGTCACCGAGTGTTCCATTCAAGAGTAACGTTAATTTGACAAAGAAAACTTTTAAACGTCATGATCGCATTTAGGGGTGGTTCGGTATGGGATACCATACCGAAACTAGTATCCCGAATCCCAAACCGAAAATTTTCGGGATGGGAATTTGAAGACCAATCCCAAACCAAATTTTCGGGAATCCCAAATTTCGGGAATCCCGAAATATTTTCGGGATTTTGGGACAAATTGGGAATCCCAAATTGAAATATGAAATTATGAATTGTTCTTCAAATATATAATTCAAGAACACATTCATGAACTAGGAATTTCATTTCATTCACACTACCATTTAATTGAACACTGGCATGCTTGACTATTTTTATCATAGTCAAAATTCAAATTAATTAAATCCTTTTTGCAATCTGTTGAGAGACAAAAGAATCAAGCATTCTGAAATCATCAGCCCTAGTAGCAGCAATAATAATATCCACATGAATATCAAACAGAATATGAAAAATATGCAAGGTGTAGGGCATTCCAGGTTGCCGAGTATGAATTAGAAACTACTAGCATCAATTATAAAAGAATAATATATATATGTATAAATATATATATATATATATATATATATATAAAATAATAATTAATATTATATATTTTCGGTTTGGTATGGGATTCCCGAAATATCGAGAAGCCAATCCCGAATCCCATACCGAAATTTTGGGATTGGTTTGGGATAGCATCCCGAAAATTTCGGGAATTTCGGTTTGGGAAATTTTTGGTTTGGGATCGGGATTTTTTCGGTTCGGTTCGGGATTTTCGGGAATTTTTTCCACCCCTAATCGCATTGTCATGTAATAGTACTTATCTATGTATTATATAATATGATATAATACTAATAAATAGAGATATACATATTACAATATGACCAGCTTAGTAATATCACATCACAATATAACGATCATATTAAAAAACTTATCAGTTGATAGTTTCATGGACGAGAACCAATAATGATATAACCACTTAAAGGATTGTTTTTACCAATGTTTATAGGACATTGTAATTACGTGCCCTAAACTATATGAATGCACATTGTAATTGACCCAAAAAGAAATATATATATATATATATATATATATATATAATATGAAGGAAAATGTATACTCTTACGGCCTTGCTTGCCCTACAAAAGAGTATTTTACTTTAGGCGTGAGCCCCATAACATTCGTTTTTCAAACAGAATGATTGGTTCCTGGGACCATCTTTGAACCTTCTCATACTCTCCCTCCCTCCCTCTCTCCACATCTTTTTATAATTTCTAGTTTTCTGGATTTTACTGGCCCTTCATGTCGTTTCACCAAATATAAGCAAAGCAGAGTATTGCCAATGGAGGAAGGTTCCCTCGTGAAAGTTGCCTCACCACCCATTAATGCGATTCTTGTGAGACACCATGATCAGTGTCGATCAAAAGTTGAAAAACCATCTGCCTCACTTACCAAGAAAACGTAGAGAAAATCACTTAGCTGTAAAGTGCTGAAAGGATCACGTATAGTTACGTGACTCCATGTGTTTTTCCCTTCCTTTTACCTCAATCATTCCAAAAGTTTCCAACATTATTGATCCATATTTGATAGATCTCCTAACCAGTTTGACTATTCATATACTCAATACTTAACTTTTTGGAAGTGTCGTATTAATGAATACAGTCGTTCATGTTAGCTATTAAAAACGGTTTATTGATGAATACCATGTATATGAGATCCATGCACATTAACAAATTGTCGTTTGTGATCATCTCTATTGTTTAAAGCAGTTTGCCTAACTAATTCATGCATGCACATATTACGTTATATGATCAATCTGAATTATTAGTTGAGTGAACTTCCATTATCTTTCCGTTATTAAATCAACATATCCAACACCAGTAAATATCATCTACATATAGCATCTTCCAAGACAACGTCAATCTACCACTGCACATCATAAACGGGCAACGGGGCAAGAAAAGTTATAGCCTACCTCAGTAAAAAAATTTGGTTGTGCTCTTGCATGCATGTACACGAAAAATGGCATGGATGACTCGTGGCTCATATTGCTATCTTTGTAAAGCAAGAAATTCCTAGTTGCTGGCATAAAGGCCTACAAAAATTGAGGGGAGAAAAGCCCTAGCTATGCTTTCTCTTCCCGACTTTTGGAAACCCTAAATCCCGTGAGGCAGTGGCATATACCAAAACCAACTAAACACATTGATTTTTTTTTTTTTTGGGTAAACGATAGATTTTGTTAGTTCAAATGTTAAATTAGCTACCGACGGAATTCGAACACACGCCCTCATGCAAGAGCTCAACACTATTTCACTATTATGGTAAAAGGCTACTTGCTAAATACATTGATTTTTAGGTTCTCCAAAAATATTTACTTTTTCAATCTCCACGGAAAAAGTGGATAAAATATAACATTGAAAGATCTGTCAATGTTTCAAAAAACATGACTTAATACATCAAATGTCATAATACAATAATTAAATATGTGAAATAAAAATATTATAGCACTTAGGTACCGTTTGGTACGTGGGACGGGACGGAACAGAGTGGGACAAGGCGTTTCGTCCTGCGTTGCGTCCCACGTTTGGTGCGCCTAAAATGGGTGGAACGAGCTGCTTCACGGGACGAGTTTTGAGTGAATTTTCATTCCACCTCACCTCCTTGGAACGACTCGTTCCACATCCGTGGAACCCAAAATTATAATCTCTCCGTCTCCTTCTTCTTCCTCCTTGTTTCCATCCGAGGGCATCTTTGCTCCCGCTCCGTTCCGTTCCGTTCCGTCATGTCCCGTCCCATTCTGTTCCGTCCTGTCCTGTCCAGTCTGCATGCTAAACGATACCTTAGTGCACCGACTGCGTTCCAACACAATCAAATTTTTCCCAACTATTGCCTTGTGCGGTGGCTCACCTTTAAGCTGACAAGTGACGTATTTCCATTGGTATGCCTTACGTATTCCTCCTCTACGCATGACGTCACACTTATTTTGACAAAATTACAGTCGTCCAAAATGCCCATTTTTCCCATTTGTGATCATCATGAACCTTAGCTGTGATCGTCCGACCACAACTTTCGGATTACGCACGAAAAGTCTTGTATTAGGACCCACTTGGCCAGGGTCCCACGCAGGGGCATGTCTGCCAAGTGGCGTACCAGCGGAACTGTGGAACGTGGCCCAGAAGTCGGCTGGAGGGAGCGAGCCGAGAGTAAGCCGTGGGAGCTGAGCTGGCTGTCTGGAACGGTGCCGTCAAGACGACTTCGAGAACTTGCGTAGTAAATTAGAAGAGTAGCGAGAAAGCAATTTTACGTTGGCCACAAATTATTAATTCACGTATCCATAATTATCCTTGTCGAAAAATAAAATAATTAACAAACAAAATAATTACTTGATTTTTTTTTTTTTGAAAAAAGATCAAGAAGACTCACCGAGTC